GAGGAGCCACCACCGAGAAGGCCCGATTTCTTGTCTTTTCCTTCCGGGCCTCCCTTGGCATTAGGCTCCTCAGCCTCACCTCCTGGCTCGCACGAGTGACACGGGTACAACTTGGTGGGAGTAGGCGTTCTGCCAAGCATCGAGGCCCTAAACCATTTAATTTTTATATTAACTTTCTGGACAAACCAGAAGTATAGACTGGCCAAACTCCTGTGTGAGTTATACCTGTAGAAAGGTGATGATGTCACCAACAGAAGGAGATTTTTGGTAAATAAAGGTTTCCTCCTCCTTCTATTCCACAGCTAGCCTGACTCACAAGTAATCAGTCTCATGTGTGAAACTCATGGGAGCTGCAAGATGGCAGGAGGAAGTCTTTCATTATCAAAAAATCTCCCTCACAGGTCACATCATTCTTGGTCCATAGGTGCATTTTATGCAACAGGGGGTTTGGCTACTGTATGATTAAGTAATAATCCCTGATATTAATTCTGCTTGTCTTCACGGCATCCCTTAAGAGGATAAAACATCAGCTCTAACTGGTAAGTGAAAACAGTAGACATATTACTGAGCTGCTTCAACTCAGCAGTGTTGGCAGCAAGATGCATTCTGCCTCTAAATACTGCTGCCAATGTTGGGTGGGAAAAGCAATAAAACACAACAGCTCCAACATTGCATTCATTAGGATAATTGAACACATGGAGAAGTGGGCATGAGTAGGGAAGAGCAACAGGCGATATAGGGATTTCAAAAAAATCTCACCAAATTTCTGGTGCGTGGCAAGGCAGGGCATCTAGATATATTGAGACAGAGCCATAATGAGGGCGTGGCTATCAGTGTTTTGACCCAAGGATGAAATTTAGAACCCCCCTTTGCTATTTATTGCCGCAACAGCATGAGCCTGCCTTCCCTGAGTGCTTACAGAGTTTCCATCTGCTCTTTTCCAGGCAAAAGGAAACACGAAATAGGCATGCTTACTTTGAAAGCAATATGGCTGCCACACAATCAGCTCCCTTCTGCCATCAACCCATGTCTGCCAATCCTACATGACTCAAGCTTGATCCAATGGAGGCCCAAATGCTATGATGGATATTTACAGCTCTTCATTGCAACAGCTTGCTCAGCCTTGCACGATTTCCTGGCTCGGCTGCAAGAGCAAAATATTCTTTTTCCCCCACTGAGGTTTCTGCATTTTGTGTAAAATGTTTCTCTGCGAAATTTATGCTGTGACTACATTGACCAAAAAAATGTGGGAAATGCTATGAGACTGGGGTGGTCTGGTTCACATTTTTTTCATTCATTCATCACATGGCATAAAAGCAGACAAGACCAGCTCAGAGTTGTCCACGCCTGCAAATCTGCAGTTTCGCCTCCACTGCTGAGGCTTCTACTTCCTCCACAACAGATCCCTTCACATCGATTCAGACAACGTGATCTCTCCCAATGGAGAAAAGTGTTTGCTGTGGTTGACACAATGGTGCAGCGGCTGAGGGGGAGGCAAAAAAATAATAATGTAACTTCTTTCTTTTTAAAAAAAAAACAGCTTGGTGCCAGCACTAGGGCACACTGATATAAAGAAAAAGTAGGGGGGGAGGAGGAGGGGATAG